GAAAATCCTAAAATTTGTGACATATTAGTCCTCGAAGTTCGGGAAATTAACTGTACAACTACGCGGTACTTGGAAAGGGAACGCTGTGTTAAAATATTTTTTTTTTTTTTTTATATCCGAAGACTGAACTTAATATCTTCAACTTTTCCGAAGCCACATATCCGAAGACTGAACTTAATATGTTCAACTTTTACGAGGGCAGGGAAAATCTCCTTAAAATTTCAGCCTTTCCTCCTTCCCCTCTTCCCCCACCCCCCGCTTTTCTGGTTCCCGAGTTAGCGTCTCCTCCCACCAAAAACTTTCACCGGGTTGTAGATGGCGAACCACGTAATTCTTGAATTCGATATCTTTAAGTTGTACGGAGACTGGGAACATTTCCAGAAAATTTCAGCTTCCCAGCTTTTCTGGTTTCCGAATTAGCAATTTTCCTGCCAAGAACTTTCACGGGGCATAACCCAGGACTTGTATGCTGTCGTTTTTACATGAATTTGCCCAGATACACTGGCGGGCCATATTCGAAGAAGTCGATGAATGAATCGAAAACATATTTACGCCTCAGGCCTCCACTCCTGCGTATTTTTTTTTGGCTTTTTATGGCATATATTTCGCATTCCTCTAAAAAATGAGATCATTTTCCTTAAAAAGAAAAAAAAAATGATACTGGATGCATTCCAGCGATGTTAGCGCCATGTAAACCGCTCTAGGTGTAACCGTTTATCACTTCAAAAAGAGAATAACGCAACTTCGGACGAAACATTGACTGCAGTATTACAGATGTTACCACAACTGACAATTACTGTGATAAACAGGTAGGACAAAAAAAAAGGGTTAACAAATTCGTTTTTCCAGCCTTTCACAAAAAAAAAAACTGAGCCAATACTACTGCTCTGCTCGCTGGTTCCTCCCTACGGGTCACCGGAGAATGCGCAGGTCATATCACTAAATAATGCTCTGATTAAAAAATTAATGAAAAGCGAAGACGATGATTTTTTTCAAAAAAAATTTCTTGGTATTATATCAATGATTAGTAAGTCAACAAGTAACAAATGGGCGATATTCCGCACATTTCGCATTAGTACGATCGGCCGCTCCATCCAGAACTGGCACCTGAACCGCCCCATGACTGTCCACCGCCACCGCCACCTTGCCATCCGCCGTGTCCACCACCGCCACCACCACCGCTGCCACCACTCCATCCTGAAACAGATAAAATGCATCGCTGGGGCTCAAATCAGACCTCTCCAAGACCAAACCAACAAATACAGTCACACACAACGGGTTAATCCCCTCCACATCTCTGGCATGCCAGACCCCTCCCCTCCGTGTACACTGTTGCAAAGGGAAGAAGGAGCGAGTAACAAGGAAGCGAAGTCGGAGGCTCAACCCCCTCCGCCTTCTCCAGTTACCCTTCGGTTTCCTGTAATATGCAAATGTCCCGTCTCCTGGCTCGAGTTCCCCCCTCCGTGATATTTAATGTGATAACTGAAAATGAAATTGTTATTGTAATTGATTGTTTCGCCGAAGCTTGGAGTTGCTGCCGGGCGATT